TCTCAAAATTGCCACTAGGAATATTACAGGGTCTCCAAAGCAGGCCGCAGGACTGCTGGGGGTTAGAAGGAATGGTAAGTCCCTCTAAACACTGCCCCAAGTCTGCCAGGCATGCTTGGGGGTTTGGGGAGGGGGAGAGGCCTCTACAGTTACATCTTAAAATGCACACACATCTGCAAGTGCACACACTGTCCCATCTCTCTTTGACTCACACTACATTTAGGAACCAGGTAACCATCAGGACAAAAGCTATGAACAAAACCAAGAGCAAATGGGACCTATGGACCCAAGGGGTTATCACAGGCTCGTTTTGATGAGTGGACTTCATGGTATTTCTTTGAAAGACTGGGAAGCATCTTCCCTTGTATACCCACACTCAGGCCTCTAGTTGAGTGAGCTTGGGTCTGTTGCCTTGCTCCTGCAGGGCAGCCTCCAGCCCTCCTTCAGTCAGGGAGAGAGGGATGAAAAGATGCCACATCAGCCTAAGCGCTAGAAGAAGGCCCACCTAACTGCTGCAGGGTTGAGTGCTTACCAAATGCCCCCAGACCTGGAAAAGCCAACACCAAGCACAGGCAGGAGAGCAGGCCACGAGGCACCTGAGAGTTACAGTGGTTTTGTTAGCATTGTTTTAAACAGTTCCAATATGAATCCTTTATTATGCTCTCATGTGAAAAGTAAAAAACTTTTTAAAAAGTTAGGGGTGTGACACTGTCTCTCCCTCAAGCACAGAACCAAGAACTATAGTCAATTTCCTTTAAAAACATAAGGTCTGTAATTCAACATACTAACTTCATGTGTGATAGAATCTACACCTGTGCACACTGTCAGTAATATCACAGTCTTCATCCTAAAAGCCAGTGCCTCTGTACCATGAAGGGCACACACCAGAGTCCTCTCTGAAACAGCAAAAATCAAAACAGGCAATGTCAGCAGTCCTTTCAGTAGGTGACAGGAGGCCTAAGTTATGATCTAGCCAAAAAAACCAACCACACCTTGGACACCCCCACAGCCCAGCCACCAAAAAAAAATAGCGCTATCTCCTTTAAGCAAGTGCACAGAACAAAAAGCTGCAGTGGATACGTTTGCTAGGATCCTATCTATGCATCTTCAGATGTCAGTGTGGATGCAGTTATGCACACTGGCAGATCCATCAAGGAGTTCTAGAAAGAGGAACGCACACATTCTGTCCACAGCCCTTTGCATATTAGACAAAGAGGACCTTGGTGGGGGTAAGGACACAGGAGCAGGAGCTGCTGGCCTGGGCGTGTCCCTGGACAAAGTGCTAGCCATCCCTGAAGCTGGCTTTGCCCTGGGTAAAGAAGGCCCCACCCAGTCACCTCCTGTTCTGACAGGCTGTCTTTCCCTGCGACCGTTGCAGGGAATGAAGGGGCCAGGAACTTGAGGCTCTGAGGCTAGACTGCACCTTGTGGGAGGGGACCAAAATACCTTGCTCCAAGAATCTCAAATTCCTGAGTCCATTGGGTAAGGATAAATTTCAGGCTGACCCATCCCAAATCATCACAGGAAACAGCTGAGAAAGCAATCTTACTCTGTTTCCTAACCCCACCCCGAACCAGGGGAGGTGACCGTGAACTTTACTCAGGGTCTGCACTGTGTCCACCATTCTCATGAGGCCCCCAGAGCCACTGAAGTGGCCCACGCCAGGCAGTATGCAAGCGATTCTATGGCTCTCCATGCTACAGGGAAGAGGGCGGAGTCATTGTGAAAACAATTCTTTGTGGGAACAAATAGGTGGAAATGTATTCATGGTATCTCTGCCAAGAAAGTCTGAGTAGCCATTCCACCCCTGCCCGCCAGGCCCCACCTCTCCCCACAAGCTGGAATCTCTGGACACGGGACGTGGCTGAGGCTGATTAGGGGACTAGTCTGCTCTCCAGAGGGCCCCAGACTGGCCTGGCCTTCTGTTAAGTCCTTAAATTTCCAAATCCAACCCTCCTCAGCCTCCAAAAAAATCTACTCCTGGCCTTCTACTCCCCAAAGCCGGGTTTAGTAAATTTCTCGTCTGGGCTGGGAAGCTATGATTAAACAAATAAGTGGCTTAAACTGCAATGTTTCTTTGTTTTACTGTGCATTTGCCACAACACCAACAATTAACGAAGTGACAGTAGGCAGTCCTTCCACAGAATGACTATCACTACTACATGGCTAACCAGGAGGGGCAGCTCTTTGTAAGTAGCTATTCAGGGTGGGAGTGGGAGGTCAGAAGAGAGCCCTGGCCTATGAACTCAGCTACCCCAAAGGCAAGGCTGATCTTGCTTCTCAAAAGGGTTTACTCTACATGGTCTCATTCCCCTCCCACAAGACTTCCCAGGTGGTCAGGGTAGATACTACCAAGCTGCAAGGAGGTCTGGGGACCAGCCTCTGATCACAGAGCCCAGTGCTATGGGCTACCTTCTTGGCTAAGGTGGTTTTAACATTCGCCACCTGCCGGGAAATAACTATGATTCCTGGGGGAGTGGTGTCCTAGTGAAGTTAAAAGATGTGTCATGACTTCAATTGCTATCTGCAGAGACCTTCATAATCCTACTGATGACCCCCAAAGCAAACCAGTCACTTCAGATCTAGTGTCTATAGGGAAGCGGGTTCCTCTCAGTCACTCCCCGGGGCCAGCCCCACCGCCCCCATGAATACCAGTTACTTTTGCTTTGAACACCGGGCTAAGGGCTGTAACTGGGCTTCCCAAAGGTGCCCTGGACCAGAGGCTGAACCAGACTTCCTTCAGAAGCAGGTGTTTGGGATGTACAATTCTCATAATCATATTCACCGGGTACCAAGTGAAATGCAGTTGCCAGTTACCGGCAAAACTCGGTGTAATGAGTCAATCAGCATCAGGGGCCTAAAAATCTGCATTCTTCCTAACCCCACCCTCACAGGGATCTAATGCTTGCATCCACCCTAGAAGTGGGGCCTCTCTCGAATCCCCCGCAACCTGGAGGACGGAATACGTTCCCTACTGTAAGAACAGACCTTGTAGCATAATGCGGGCACCCAAAGAAGATTGGTTCCATCCTCTTCTGCCTGCTTTGGGTTTCCAGGCACTCCAGTGAGTATGGCTCCACCCCACCGTGGGAAAAGCAAGTCCCTAGGGCCCCGGACCCCAATCCACTAGCCTACAGACTTTTTTCAGGGCCAGCTGAGCCCGAAAGAGCAAGCCACCCAATCTGGCAAAATATCCTCAGCTCGGCCCGCCCATGACAGCTAGCCCCTCCCCTCTGCCAATCCCTCCGCAATTCACCAAGGCGGGTGGTTACTGGGTGCTGCCGAGTGGGAAGCGACCTTAAAACTGGCTGCAGAAGATTTCCCAATCTTAATTCCCCGCCCAGCACCGCCCTCTCACCCGGCGCCCAAGGCGGATCGCAACCCTAGCCACACCCCCAAAGCGCGGCCCCCACCCCGCACTCAGGGTCTACTAGGTTCTGAACTTAGCCTCACCCCTCCCCCACGGCCACACCCACTGTGGCGGCCGCGTTCCCTAGCTGAACTGAGATCCCTACACAAACCCCACCCCCCTCCTGGGCCCACACACCATTAATTCTGACCCCCGCATGCCAAGAACTGGCCTTGCTTTCTCCCTCAACCCCATCACCTGCCACATGGTTAGGGCGGCCACTGCAAGGAGCTAGGAACCCCGGGGGCAGCCACCGCGGGGAAAGTTATTCTGAGATGCGCAAGTCTCAACACCTGCGGAGATCGGCCCGCTCAGTTTCAAAAGTACCGAGAAATGGACCTTCAGCTTTCAAAGGCTTCAGTTTCTTGTTATTCTTTTGACTCAGCGTGAGAACTGTTTTACCCAAGAGAAGGCACAAGCCTTGGAAACAAGGTAACGGTATTAAGTATTCGGGCGCTGAACCTGCCTCGAAGGTGGAAGAATTAGATGTCACAGAGGAGTTCACGTGAGCTCAAGGGAAACATGACTTTTTCAGGGGAAGGGAGTTGCCACCCATTAAATGTTTGCATCTTTGTGTTAAAAACAAAAATAAAGGGAGGGGGAACTTCCACAAATGAATCAACTCCAAAGTATCAAACCCGCGCAATGCCAAGTGCGGCTCGGGGGTCTGTGGGGGCGAGCGGCGGTATATGGGCCCCCAGGCTGTGGGCTCAGGCCTCCAGCCCTCACGCAGGTGCCGTCTGCCTACATCCAGCCCCGGGGCAGGTGAGAACTGGGCCGGGAAGAGGGCGGTGCAGACCGACCGGCAGTGGGCAGGGCGCTGTTTTTTGCAAAGAAAGCGCCACAAGGCCGAAGAGCCCCCCTCGCGCCGGGCGCGCCCCCGCCGGCCGGATGGGCGGGGGCTCCCACAAAGAGCCGCAGGCGGGGAACGGGGACCCAGGACCGCCCCCCGCGTCGGCGAGCGCCGCCGCTGGCTCTGGTTAAGACAAATTAAACCTTAGAGCGCTGGAAAAATTACAGGAAGAGGAGAGCGAAGAATGTGCCGAGTGGCTGAAGGGAACCCTGTCCCCGCGTGAACTTCGCCCGCTGCGCGCCTGGGCTGGCCTCCCCCCTCCCCGGCGCGCGCCCGGTGGGCGGGGGAGGGAGGGAATGATGGAACTCGCAAGAGATCACCCAACCCCAACTCCCGGGTGCCCACCGCCACGAGCGACGCCTGCAGTCCCCACCCAGCCACCGCGCACCTGCCCGTGTCGCCCCTGGGCCTGGGCGGGGTCCCCGCCCCCAGCCCAGATGACGACATCCACCCCCGCGGCCCCGCCCGACTCGCGCCCGGGAGGGGGCGTGCCCGGCGGGGGCGCGGTCGCCGGGCGGGCGCCGGCTCTTGGAGCCGGGACCCGCCTCACGCGGTGCGCGGGGCAGGCCGCGCAACAGAGCAGCGGGGGAAGGGGCGAGGCCCCGATCGCCCTCCGCCCGACCATTCCCCGCGCCCGGCCCCCCACCTCGCGCCCAGCGGGCAGCTCCGGGGGCGTGGCCGGGCAGCTCGCGCAGTCCCTAGTCCGCGCGCTCGGGGCGCCGGGGCTGCCCCACTGACCTGTGTGAGTTCTCAGGTGCGCCTTGAGATGCGAGGATTTCCCGTAAACTTTCTCGCAGCCCGCGTAGTGGCACTTGTGCTTTCTCTGCGGGGACTCGAGATCGGCGCGACTTCGGCCCCTCCGGCCCCTTTGTCTGAGACCGGGCTCGCCGCTCCCCGCGGGTCCCGGCTCCGGCTCCAGCCCCGCCTCGGGCTCGGGCTCGCTCCACGCGGGGCTGGGGGGCGCGGCCGCTGCGCCCTCTCGGCCGGGAGAGGCGGGCTCCGGAGCTGGGGGCGGCGCGGGCGGCAGGCGGCAGGGGGTCCTCGCCTTCCGGGCAGCGGCGCCCTCTCTGCGTTCCGCTGGGACAGGGGCGGGCGCTTGCTGGTTGAGGTCCGCTAGGATCCGCGCGACCACGAAGAGCGAGGCGCTGTCCTTGCCGTCGCGGCGCTCCTCAACGCGGGGCAGTGTGGGGGCGGCGGCTACGGCCGCGCCCTCGGGCCGAGGCTCGGGTCCTTCCCGCGGCCCATGCACGACCGCGCGGCTGGACATGGACACGAGGCACTCGGCGGCGAAGTGGTCCACATAGGCGGCGGCTGCCATGCTGCGGACTGCGGCCGGCGGGCGTGCGGGCGGGCGGCAGGCAGTGCTCGTCGCTGCGAGTCGTCAGCGGCGCATCCGCACCCACGGCCTCCGGAGAGCGGGCGGGGGGCGGGGGCGCGGCGCGCCCTCTCCTCGGGCTGGGCTGGGCTAGGCTGGGCGCGCAGCCGCCTCTGCCGTCACCCGCGCGGCTCCGCGTCCGCCCGGCCGGGCACCGGAGAATGAGCGCATGAGGGGTGAGGGGGTCGCGGGCAAGTAGGGTCCCCGTGCGGCGTCAGGGCTGGCCTGTCCTAAGGATGTCGAGCGGCGACGTTAGGGACGACCGCGTCAAGTCGCGGCCTCAGCTTCCCCGCGCATTGTGGCAGGCGGGACAGCCGCCGTGCGCGCCGCGGCTCGGTGTGGGCGGCCCGGCCCCGGGGGTGGGCGGGGCCGGGGCCACATCTGGACCCGACGTCAGCCCCCAGCCACATCCTGGCGGCGCAGGTTACAGGCGGCAGCGGCCGCAGGGAGCAGCGCGCGCGAAGGGGGCGGGGAGCCTGGAGCGCGCACCACAGGGACGGAGCGGTCGCGCGCCCGCGTCTGGGGAAGGGCGTGGCCGAGGGCACGGGCGGACGCTATTGGTCCGTGAATACTCGGTCAGGCCAATCCGGGCCTCTAGAGGGGCCTGCCCTGGCCGTGGGGCCTGAGCGCGCCAATGGGCGTGCCCCCTGGCCGGTGGGAGGAGGGGCGGAAATTGGAGCCGGGCGCGGGGCACGCTGACGCACGACGTCCGAGGGTGGCGGGCCGGGGTGTAACCACGCCGGGTCCGCTGTCCGTACCTCCCGCAGCGGGAACCCCGCCGGGCTTTTCCCTGCTAGAGCTTTTGTGCACTGACTGCCTGGAGCCTCGCCGCAGAGGGGAGGGCACCCTTTTGTCCCTCCAGCCCCGCCCGCCAGGGGCTCCGGCGAGGAGGCGTGTCTGCTCCAGCGGGGCGCTGTGCTGCCGGCCTCGCGTAGGGGCGGGACGCACTCGCATCGCACTCCATCGCTGCGGGTTTCCCGGGTGCCCGAGCCCGGAGCCTCTGGCTGCTGGCCACCTCCACGCTCTTCCCCTGCTGAGTTGCGGGCATCGGCACAGCCCTGGCGGGAGCGAGGTCACAAGTGAGACCGGGATGCTCCCGGGACAGGAACCGGGCGCTCCCCCGAGTGGTCTTCGGAGATCGCGGACCTAGGGCACGGTCTCAGCGTCCTTAAGCCGGGTCTTCCAGAGGAAGACGGGCCCCCGGCTGGGGCTGACGGTTAACCTGGCAGCCTGGGTGACGTGCCCACCGCGGCATGTGCTTGCAGGAGTGAACTACGTGCCGGGGCGGCGGGCGCCGCTGTTCAGGGAACGTGGGGCCCCTTCCTCCCCCTTCCCGCCCCAGGCCTGCTGCCAACTACTCTAGGCTGCCCCTCTCCCACCGCGGTCGGGGAGGCTTCAAACGCCACCAGCTGCGAGGACCCCGCCCACAGCGCCCCACCCATCCACTGTCTGGGCCTCCCGAAGGAAATGCTCCGCTGCGCCCCGCCGGCGGCCTCCGTGCCTGGGCTTGGCCAACGTGCCCTTGAGACAGACAGACAGACAGACACACACCATTCTCCAGGTCTAGGCCATCAGCGGAGAGACCGATGCATGACTTCCGACTGCCTTGAAACCGACCTTACCGTCAGGTTTTCTGGAGTCTGGCAGCTCCTGGCCCCTGACCCAGGGACACGGAGACCAGGGTCTGCAGCCGGTGGTTCATTGTGCTTAACAGCCTTGAAACAAGTGAGCCACCCGGGCTGAATCCCAAAAGGAGCTGGGAAGGTGAGGGCACTAGACATTCCACCCCAGTGAACAACAGGAGAGGCATTTTGCTCACAAAATTAAGAGCCATTGCCAAGTTCAGGTTCTCCCCGAATTTGTTTGAAGTCTAGGTTAAAAAAAAAAAAAGTTTCAGGTAACCAAGGCGACGGGGGCGGGGGGTGGGGTGTCGATGACGACGACAACTGAGCCCTTTTGGGTTGCATACTTACATCAACATTTGAGCACCCTGAATATCCGGAACTAACACCCTGAATTCCCTCTCCTTTAGGTTGTCCACCTGTGGAGGCTTCAAAGCTTAGGGAGCTGGGTCCCAGTCCCTGTAGGAGGGTCTCTGGCAGAAAGTAGTCACCTTTCTTCCAGGCAGATTGTGTTGACATTTAAGAGACTTGTGTCCTGACCAAGTGATGATTCAGAATGTTCCTGTATCCCCACCACATGCTACAATCAGTTGCTTCTTCATTAGGAGGAGCTGGCCCTACACTGCCTTTCCGGCCACACATTCCTATCCCTACCCTTTGCCAGCCAAGGGAATTCTGCCCAGTGTTCCAGGTGCCATATCTCTCCAGCCCCAGGACCCCGATGGGGGTCTGGATACCAAACACCATGAACTACTACTGCTGCCTCGGAGGTGAAAGCCTGGATTGAAGGACTTCTACACTGACATGTCCCATCCAAGGGTTCCCCATGATTTCTGGTTGTGCCCAGTGGCATTCTAGATACAAAACTAAGCCCCTTGATTAGTTTCTCAGAAATCCACAAGCATTTGTGGTGCCTCAGACCTGGACTCTTGTGTCCCAAACCCAAATAGAAATATCTTAGAGACACAGATCTGTTCCCCTGGAGACATCTCACCATAGCTATGGGTCCATGTTTTCCTTGCTACTTAGGCTTCTGACAGAGACTGCTTACGTAAGCGTGAGAGTGTGGGGCATCTCATTTCAAACGAAAAGAACAGAGCAGGGAGGATCGGCAGGAGCTAGTGTACCAAGACATCTTGGGCAGAGAAGAGACTAAAAACTGTAAGACTGAAAACTGTAATGAGTGAAGTTCTGGGTGAAGGTGGTGGATGGGTAGCATGCATTGACTTTAACTTCCTTTTAAAGCCTGTGAAACATTTAAAGGCAGAAATCCACAAAGGAGAGCAAGAGAGGAAGTAACAACAACACAAATTTTGAAGTTAAAATGCTTAGCGGACCTAAGAAAAAGGAGAGCAAGAGAGGAAGTAACAACAACACAAATTTTGAAGTTAAAATGCTTAGCGGACCTAAGAAAAAGGAGAGCAAGAGAGGAAGTAACAACAACACAAATTTTGAAGTTAAAATGCTTAGCGGACCTAAGAAAATGAAATAGAAGTCAGGAAGGAAAGCCTCCCCCAGAAGGTTGGTGAACAGATGGCACTAGATGCTTCCGGGGGGGGGGAAGGGAACTTAAATAAGGATGACTGGGCAAAGGTGTGTTAATGAGCGTTGAGATGTCCAGATCCCCTCCGAAGTCCTGTGCAGCCTAACCACTGCTCCTTCCCCAACCTGACAAAAGATGTTTGTGATTGGAAGGAGATAAAAGGAAGGGTCTTGGGCTAGGGGATACCAGGCACAATGTAGACAGAGGTACCACACAGTAGGATCAGGAGGCTTAAATGCTATGTAGATATGCGATGCTGAAACCCACAAGCCCCTTTCTGGAATTTCAGGATGTAGGGAGCCAGGAGCCTAGGATAGTCTTCTAAAGGAGTCAAACCACGCCCAGGGGAAACACCACCTAAATGTTCTGACAACTCACTCTGTAGGGAAGGCCACAGTGAATAGTGCCACTTAGGAGCACAGAACTTCTTATCACCTTTTGGTCCTTTCCAGGCAAATAGGAGTGAGCAGCCAGAGCTGGCCTGACATCTCAGGAAAGCCTGTGTCGTGAAATACAAAGCCACAATAGATTTTTTTTTTTAAAGCAAGTTGGAGGAGACAGAAGCCATACAAAGAGAAGAAACTATTACTATATTGCTAGGGAAATTTAAAAATATAGCACGCCCGTGAAGGGAGAACATATATAAAGAAATATTCAGAAAAAAAGAAAAAGAGAGTTCTTGAAGATTTAAAAGAAATTAGCAGGCCAGGCAAAGTGGCTCAAACCTATAATTCTAGTTACTCAGAAGGCAGAGATAATGAGGATTACCATTCAAGACCAGTGTGGTGGGGCTGGGGCTGAGCATAGTGGTTCATGCCTGTCATCCCAGCTAAGCCAGGAAGTGCACATAGGACAATTACAGTTCAGGTTGGCTCTGGCATAAAGCCAGACCTTGTCTCAAAAATAACCAATGCAAGCTGGGCATAAGTGGCTCACACCTGTAATCCTAGCTACTTAGGAGGCAGAGATCAGGAGGATCAAGGTTCAAAGTCAGCCTGGGCAAATACCTCAAGAGACCCTATCTTGAAAAAATCCTTCACAAAAAAAGGGCTGGCAGAGTGGCTCAAGATGAAGGCCCTGAGTTCAAACCCCAGTACCGTAAATAAATAAATAAATAAATAAAAATAACCACAGGGCACCAGTGGTTCACGTCTTTAACCCTAACTATTCAGGAGACGGAGATCAGTAGGATCACAGTTCAAGGCCAGCTCGGGCAAATAGTTTGAGAGACCCTATCTTGAAAATACCTAACCCAAAACAGGGCTGATGGAGTGGCTCAAGTGCTAGAATGCCTACCTAGCAAGTGTGAGCCCTTGAGTTCAAAATCCAGTACTGCCAAAAAATTAGACCCATAGAAGTGGTCAGAGAAAATCATCAATGAATTAATCCAGAAAAGTCTCTATGACCAAAGTTCTGTGTTGAAAATGTCCACAGAGAGCCCAGCACAATGGGAGAAAATAGCCCCAAAGCATATCACTGCTGAGTTTCAGAATATCAGAGCCAGTTGGAATGGTCATAACAAGAAGTAGAAGTTAGAAGTCAAGGGGTAGAGCACCTGCCTAGCAAGTGCAAGATCCCAAGGTCATACCCCAGTATCACAAAGTCAAGTACATAAAGCCTGGGAGAATCTAAAGGAAAGTTGTTTTCCAACCTTCACCCAACCAATCCAAAACCCAAGCATAGTCATGTGTCACTGAATGTGGTGGTGCACACCTGTAATCCCAGCACTCAGAAGGCTGAAGCGGGAAGATCACAAGTTTGAAGTCATAGTGAGACCCTGTCACAAAAATCACACCTACCACCAACAACAAAGAGACTCCAAAGAACTTCTTTGTAAGAAGATAGTATCTATAAGCCAGGAAGTGGGTCCTCACCAGACCCCAAATCTGCCAGCACCTTTATCTTGGCCTTACCAGCCTGCACAATGATGAGAAATAAATTTCCAGTGGTCATAAGCCACCCAGTTGTGGTATTCTGTAATTCCAACCCAAACAGACTAAGATACCTACCTTCTTACCCTCAGGAAGCCAGGAGAAGGTCCATGATACTTCCTGAAGGCTAGGAGAAGACTATTCAGTGATGATCAGTGGTTTCCACAGTCCCTGACTTGCCTTGAGTAGATCAAGAAAACTGGCAGAATTTGGGTTAGAATAATAAGTAGATAGAAAATAAAATGAGGGCTGGTGGAGTGGCTCAAGCAGTAGAGTGCCTTCCTAGCAAGCATGAAGCCATGAGCTCAAACTCCAGTACCACCACCAGCG